ACACACACACACACACACACACACACACACACACACACACACACACACACAAACAACACACACACACACACACACAAACAAAAAAACGAACTTTCCCCCTTTTTTCTTTCGGAGGCCAGCGCGGCCTCAAATTTTTGTCAATATTTTTTTGTGGTTTATGACGCGACATCCCACTCGGGTCTAAAACAACCCTCCCCAACTTTTTTTTTTTTTTCTTGACCCCTTATTTTCAGGGTGCGCCGCACCCCGCGCGCGAGCGTCGTGCGCTGTGCGCAGTGCGGGGCGTGTGCGCAGTGCAGCGCACGTTGATGCGCCGCAAGTACGGTATTTTAGCATACATATGAACTTTCAGGGGCATTTTGCAAATTTTCCCGGTTCTTTTGCAGGCTGTCCATCTAACTCCATTATATAATAGACTATTCATTCATCCTTATGTAGGGATAGAATAATGATGGGATTTTGAGGGGCTCTTTTAGGGGTATTTTGGCATACACGTGAACTTTCAGGGTCGTTTCGCAATTTTTTTGAATTTTCCCTTTTTATTTTATTTTTATTTTTGCAGACTGTACACCTGGCTTCATCATATTCTATACCATTCATTCATTCATATGAAGGGATAAAAATAACGATGGAACTTTGAGGGCCTTTAGATGGGCGGTGAGCGAAACATCATGTACCATTACTTACCAACCAAGACGACATTGAAGCATGTGTTCTTCATGTTTGCGGGGACCTCCATCACGTACGGATTGTCAAAGAATTTATATGCTTCACTGAGCCTTGCGTGGTATTCCACAAGATAGCCTTCCATGGTGGGGAGTTTCTCCCGCACCATTTTGACCCACGTTTCACTGTTCTCAAGGAAAACCGTGCGCGTGCGAATCTTGCCCCCGGCCGTCGCAGCATCCGGAAGGCAGTTCGCATTCATCCAAACATGACTGTCCCGGCCCATGCCCCACACGAGGAAATTGTGAGCGCACACGCCGTCCCCCTCGGAACAACTAGGCAAACTCGACACCATCATCGCGGACGTCGACACAGTAACTCCAATCCAAAGCATCTGGTCGAAGGCCAACTGCGGCTGCTCCTCGGGCGCAACATTGACCGTCCTTATCAAGTAGCTGATGAGTTCCGCCTGGCATCTGCTGCTACCCCCCTGTGGCTCCACAGCACGTACTCTACCAATTTGACTCGCTGTAAAGTGACCAGGTTCGTTGTACACGAGCGGACATCCTGCAGTATGCAAGGGAACAGCTGCCTTCTGCTCCACAACGGGCGCAGGCTTTGTGTCCTCTGTCGCAGTAGTCGCGACTGAATTGACAGCCGAAGTAATCGGCGCTGGGTACTCAGTGGAGTTAGTCGACACTGCATCTGGCAGCCTCTGAGAGCGAAAGAGAAAGAAGGCGAGGAAAACCACAAGAATGACAACCGCCTTGATGGCATTGTTTGCGTGGATGCCCTTCATCCTCGATTGTCAAGCTACGAGAATATGACACAACTGAGTTGGAGACGGACGTGGGAGGTCGAGAGGGCCCAAACTGGGAACAGCAGCAAGATCCAAAGGGACAGTGGAGCATAAAGGAGTGTCCGCACGGAGATCTGACATCAGGCTTGCGACAATGGCCGGTTGCTGCCACCAAGATTTCACTGAATACGCAAAGTGAGTGTGCAGCATTCACGAAATCTTCACGACACTTCTGGGAACGTTCCAAGCTGACGAGAATAGCATAGAGGGAAAGTGATGCTATTCGGTCCCAACTGAGGTTTCCTGTCCCGACAATATAGCATCATCATAGACAGACTGTCAGATCACACCAAAGACAGTTTCCGCCAGCATCTTACTATCTTTTGTTTTTTCTTTCTTTTTTTTTTTTCTGTCAACATCGTACTATCATTTCTTTTCTTTTCTTTTTATCTTGTTTTTCTTTCTTGAAGGATTGTAATATCATTATATAGAGTACAAAAGGCCGGTTTCCGTGTCCTCTTCATGGTTGCCTTCTGTATTTCAATCATTTGTCTGGCAAAGGGCGTCTCTCTCCACTACACAATGCTGTCCATGCATTTGGAGAATAAGGACAAGTCCAACGTTTTGAATGCATGAAGGTGCCCAAATGCATGTAGAGTGCTGAGTAGTGGAGTGAGGCTCACAGTGTACTCTTTTTCTTTTCCTTCTCCCCTTCCTCTCATTGCAACAGTGCCACAACGTTTCCGCCTGAATGAATTTATCCCCCAGGCCCGTTCATCCCTGCATGTCGCAGCACGCAGTAGGCCGCGATTTTCGGAAAAACTGATGGCTTAAGATAAATATAAATAAAATAGAAAACAAGATTAAGGCATGCCCCTTTTAAAGTTCATTATACCCCTTTCAACCCTGTTCATACCCGTTTGCACCGAATGCCTGTATCCTTCGAACGGCTGTATCCTGACTGCTGAGGCCAAGGATGGACCGGGAGGTGGACCCGGTGGGCAAGGATGGACGGGGGCCTGGAGTACCAATGGTTCCAGTAGTAACAATTGGGATAAGGGAACTGGACAAGCAGGATGGGACACGACAGGAACAGTAAGCGACTAGTCTTGATAACTTCGGACTAGGTATGTCCGAAAATCTCGGATCCCCCTGATGAGGTCGCATCTGGCGGGCGGCTGAAACTAGTAGGGGATGTGCAAGACGTCTGCACTCTAGGGGACTTCGACTTTGAGTTAGCGGATAATAGGGCGGGACGTGTACCATAGCCACGAGCTATGGTGGAGGACTACACTCTGATTTTAAGAGTTCATTCGAGATAATTTGCTCATCCACATATGTATGTCATGGTCATACACGGTTGTCAGATTGCTGTCTGTCTGTTAACATCATCGTCATAATCATCAAGCTCAATCTTGGCCTGAAGTCAGATTTTTTTTATTTTTATTTTTTCAGAGTCTTTAACCTGTTCTTTTCTCCCGGTTTCCCCATGCGGGTGGGCCGCCAGCCAGCCGGCCCGACAACTGCCAAGCACTACGTATATTATTATTTCTTTGGTGCATATTTTTCATTGCTGACAATTTGGCTTTGTCCTGCGCCAGTTAGTGTTTCGTACCGAGCAGGCACAGGTTTCCTCTGAACAGACAAAAGGTTGGTTCAGTCCGAAAGATACCATTTCACATTTTGGGTTATGCTCGGAGAATTTCCCGAATGAATTTAAGTGCGGCGCAAATCCCGTAATAAAATCAGGGGCTCCACCTGCTGGGTCTTTCGCTGATTACTACGAAATGTGCGGCAACTACCTCCGATGTCCACCCGTCCTCTGGAGAAACAGACAACATGGGATGTCCCGCAGGAAACATACAAGGGCGGCCATCTTCCGCGGACGGTCGCCCTTTCGTTGGACCCGACTGCGCTGTAGCAAATATACTTGGGAAAGGAGACCGCCGTCAGCATTCCCCAATTTGATGAGCGATAGAACTGCCGTCAGACATGCGCGAAGCTTCTGAACTGGAAAAAAAAAAAAGGAAAACCGGGTGCCGGCTTCATGATGAAATACTTGGCGATTTTGCGGTGTGAAACAGTATTCACCAGTTTGAAGTAGCTGATGTAGGACCCAGGGTTCGATCCCTAGTTCCCCAACTTACTTGTGTACAATATCTGTGACCACTTGAAGAATTGAACCTGCGACCTGTAGAACCGCCAGTGGTAAGTAGGTCTGTCGTAGGTCCTTAGGTAGCCAGGATTTGATCCATAGACCTGTAGAGTAGAMGTCCAGCTGCAGTCCTTCTAGAAGGTTGGCAAGTGGTCAAGTGGAGTGACTAAAGCAAGCCCATGTTGGAGACGAGGACAAATGGCAAGGGCAAATAGTRGGACCCSAGTGCGACTGCACTGCGTCGTAGGGTTGTCACTATGCAGTCATGGGAAAGTCTAGAAAGTACCAGTCCGGTCCAGCAAGTACCACGGGGGGGACTGTGTGCCTCATGGGCCAGGGATGCAAGGCAAACGAATACAACACAGAAGTATAAATCCAGAGGCTGCGTCCAGCCATTCATTCATTCCTGCGGAAGCTCTGCGGAAGCGCTGCTCGGGCGTCTTGTGCAAGGGAGGTCTGCAGATGGCCTGAAGACGAAGTGGGCAGAAGTTAGTGGTAGGCTAGTTAGCTGTTAGTGGCCATGCGCCATAGCCATAGACAGTTAGTGAGTGTGTATGTGTGTGTGCAGTGATTGGCGTGCATGGTATCCAGGGTGATCCGGAGTTGAGTTGCGTGTGAACTCTGAGTCGAACGTGTAAGTGAGGGCGCCCAGCGCCATAGCCAACTGAAGCGAACTTGGTTTTGAGTTGGGTTGCAAGCTACCATATCTCCGAGTTTGAGTTGGGTGCACAGCGCCAAGTTATTCTCATCTGTTGCATGCATGTTTGAGTGTGAATTTGTAAGGCTGATTTCATTGGTATCGGAGCTGGTACCCGCTGCCATGTACGTAGCCGCGTGAGGAAGAAGACCATAG